CCCCCCCCACCACACTTAAATCATGTCCACATGGATATGAAACTAAATACATTTGCACACATCTTGAGTCCATATCTTTCTGTTTTTGTGGTCATGCCACCAAAATATCTGGATTAAGAGGTTGCTTTTTCTTTGCACTGCATGAAAGAAACGCGAAATGAATGGGCTGTGATTTGAGTTTTTTAAGCAGACGTTGAGTTCAATCATTTGTACGGCCCTCGAAGGATGTTGTAAAAATTGAAATGGCCCTTGAGCGGAAAAAGGTTCCCCACCCCTGCCTTACATGTTTCCATCTTGAGCTTTGTTAGTTAGTTTCGTAACGGACGTAATGTAACAGTTGTAGCTTTTCTCAGACGCGGAGGGATACTGACTTGTTGTGTAAAGTAAGTACAATTCTACCCGTGATATACGCTCATTATATCACGGCTAAGAACCAATCAGATTGCTTGATTTGACTTGTCCGTTTTATAAGATTAATTATATAACCACTTAAAGGTGGGGTAGGTAATTCACTTCAGAAACACTTTTTGTTATATTCCATGGAATGCTCTTAACATCCCGATAGCAGTGAATATATTAAATGCTTTGACAATAAATACATACAAAAATGTCATCTGTGTAAGCCGTGGCGCTGTAAAAAGCACGACCAATCATCTGAGCCGGCCCGGCTCAGATAACTGGATGGCCTACCTGCCTGTCAGCCTTCCATCTGTGCACAAACTTATCTCGTGCCCTCATTGGTCATGTGCGCGTCCGTGTGTGTTGGAGGAGGGGCTCTGTAAGGAAGTCTGAAGGAAGGGGCAGATTTTTTCCGGCTGCGTACTTTCAAATTCTAGCGCACTCCAGCTGCGTACTTTCAAATTCTAGCGCACTCCAGCTGGTTTCTCCATTCTTACCTACCCTACCTTTAAGCTTATTAAATAGCAATACATGTATTGTTTGTGTGGGTCATCTCATCTCACACCAACTCACTAAGACCACCCGGCTCATGTCATTGTGTTCTTGAAAAAAATTAATTTCTGTAAAATTCATGACATCTTGCAAATTCTTATAGATCTATTCCAAATGTTTCTTCAGTCGCGCAATTTTGAAGTTAGTGTAATCTAGGGCTCACTATTTGTTATTGAATTGACATACAATTTGTACCGAACATCTAAGAAACCCTTAGGGATAATTTCAAGATGTATTAGAGTAGATAATTTTTCTGAATGTTTTTTACAGTAATCAAATAAATAAGAAATCCAAGAATGTTCATAAATTATAATTTCTCGTAGTTCTTCCAAATATTTAAATGATTTGGTCCCGCATTAAAAATGGAGTGCCACAGATTAAGCTAAATAACTTTTGGAGTTGTAAAACACACAATCCAAGGACATTTTGACTGCATATTTCCTCAAGAAGGTCCTTTACTAAATTATTATAACCCTTTCTTATGGAAAGTGCTAATATTTTATATTATATAAGTATATAAGTTATAAAGTTATTAAAGGTCCCATGTCATGCTTTTACAGTTATTACCCGTCCCCTTGTGTGTTATGAAGGTTTGTATGCATGTAAACGGTCTGCAGAGTCACAAACCCTCAAAGTACACCCTGTAGCGAGTAAAACTCTAACACAGAAAATACCTGTCTGTGCTGCCCCAGAACGCCTCGTTGGAGACGTGACCGTACCCAAATCCGTGGAGCTCCTCACACACAAACTCTCTCTCAGCGGAAAAACTGTGACGCGCTGGGGGGGTGCTAGTGGAGCCTAGCAGCTGCGAAACTGTAGGTGCGCTGCGTTTGGGGGTGCTAGTGGAGCCTCGCAGATGGGGGTGCTGTAGCCCCCTCAGCACCCCCCGCTTCCCGCGTCGTGTCGCTGTCTCGCAGACCCCACGCAGCAAGCCGGAAATGAACCCAGCTCACACTGTCCGCTCCTCGCAGCAGCGAGCCGCGACACGGCACCCAGACCCCACGCAGCATTCTCATGTGTTTGTCCTTACTGGTGTCATTTTCTGGTTGCTAACGCCATTGTAACACATAATCATTGATGTTCCGCTGTAACGGTGGTGGACTCATCAGAACAGAGTGGGCGAGCTGACCAATCAGAGCAGAGTGGGCTCACATGGAGGGGGGGCAGGAGCTCCAACAAGCCGTTTCGGACAGAGAGTGAATACACATACTATACAGAGATGCTGTATGAGAAACCAATGTGAGTTTGGAACATTGAACAATGTAAATCTATTGTAGTAGACCTCAACAATGGAATTATGATCAGTGGAAATGGCCATGAAATGGGACCTTTAAGGGTTTGTTTTCATGTAGCTGATGTGACTACTAGGGCTAACAGTGTCAAATGTGTAAATGCTTCCAAGAGGTTTCCTTGTTCTTAGTGGCTTCAAATTTGGATCCACACAAACAAGACATTTCATCTATCACATTCCTATAAACATGAGTGCAATACGAAAGCGGTGGCCAGGGATCTAAAATGAAACAGATAACTCGGCAGTAACTGTTTCCGACAGTTTGACACTGAGCAGTGTGACAGTGTGGCTCCCTCTCTCTCTCTTTGCTGACAGCAGGACGAGTGACAGACTAACAGCAGACGGACATGTCGTCCTCAGGAACTCATCTGATGAGCTCACCTTAGCAGCTAGTGTAGGGGACGACATGTCCGTCTGCTGCTGGTCTGTCAAAAGGAAGTCTCTGTGTGGCATGATGACGAGGACAATGTCTTTTAATACAGACACAGATTGTTGTTTTGCGTACTTAATTAAGATCGTAATTCTTACATTTTCTTTTACCGACGAGGGAAGAGACAAACTGCTTTTATTAAGGGCTGAATTCAGTTTTGGCCAAATACCTCGACATTGATATTGCAAGGATAATGTCGTTTATTTGTATTTGGGTTTTCATAAAATATTTACACACCTGATTTTGATGACTGAGTGCGTAAAGATAAATTTAAAAAAATGATGTTTTGCACTTAAGCCATTATACTCCATTCTTCCAAATGTAAGACGATAGTTTATAGTATAGTATATAATGTAGTCTCATAATATTAGTATAATATGGGTGTACGTGGTGCTGCTGCTGACCTTCTCCTCAGTGGACACGGTGAGTTTGTCGCAGGAGATGAGGCTGCACACCTGCTGCAGAGAGAGGCCCAGGAACTCCTCTCCCTGCACCACCTCAGAGAAGTGCTGCTCTGAGAGACACAAACCAGCAGGGTTACACACACACACACCACATGTCTGTATTAAGCTCTGCAACATGCAAATACCCAACAGTGGTCAAGTATCACATTTGTTGTGTGAATTTCAGCATTTAACACTTTCCCTTGGAACATAACACATTCCTTCCAAAGAGCTGCTTGCTGACAGACAGACAGACAGACAGACAGACAGACAGACAGACAGACAGACAGACAGACAGACAGACAGACAGACAGACAGACACACACACACACACACACACACACACACACACACACACACACACACACACACACACACGTTGAGGTGTGAAGCTTACCGGCATATGCGTGGGCCTGGTCGAGGAGCTGCGTGCATGTGTGCAGGTCAGCGAAGGCTCTGATGCCCAGACAGTTGGTGGGGTGGAGCTGAGACTGCAGGAACTCACAACACACCTGACGCACGTCCATCAGCTGCAGGAGGCTGGCTGCCGGCAGCAGAACCTGACACACACACACACACAGAGAGAAAGTGTCATTTTAAACATTCACTGGAAGGAACTGACTTAGGAACCCTTATTCTGGGTAATCTTATGGATTCAAAAGTGTTAAAAAACAATTCTTTACCATTCACAGCCAAGCATTTAGAAACATTTGATAGCTTGAAGTCAGATATCCATCTATTTTTAGTGCAAACTAATCAATACTTTAACAAGCCAGCCAATAACCCCTGTGAATATCACCTTGGTGACAAGACAAGCACAATATTAATACTCGTATATATCGAATAAAATCCAATACAGATTTTTTGTGGAAGTAAGCAGTCAGTGCAGTGTTAAAATCACGGTGCTACCAGACAGACACCCATAGCTCAATCCTGACACACAATCTTAACTAGGTCAGTGACAGACTGCCTGACCCTGCACACTCATCATCCTGTGAGTGTGTGTTGTTACCGTCTCCTGTTGTCTGAAGCTGCCCTGAAGCATCATATCTGCTAAAGGGAAACATCAGGAACTGAAGCTCTGCCGTCACAGCCCACACAGGACTGACGGCAGATTAAAACAACACACATATTGTCTGTTAAAAGGAAAGCTCAGAGAAATTAAAAGTGAAAATAATATTTTACCAAATTTGAGTCTGTAGTCAAAACACAAACAAGTGAGCCAATCAGGCAGGCACGCTGCTAACAGCGGGAGGATTTCCTGCCTCTGTCCATGCACATTTCCTGTGCTAATAATCAGAGGAAGTTTCCTGCCTGATGCATTCATACAGCCCTACGTGAGAGCCATGCAGCCTCCACCGACACAAACAAGGCTTCAAACCAGAGCTTCACAGCAAAACTCACAACCATTCCCAGCTCTTACTTCTCTGGTTATAAACACCGTCCTCAGGCAGGTTCATTTTGGCCTGTCTGAAATGTTACAAACAATCCAAAACAATTAAAGTGATCAGTCCTTAATTGAAGGGGTTATGTTATGATAAGCAAAAACTCGGATCACCCAAAAAAAACTACAACCTTTTTGCTCATGTGGTCCCAGATATAAAGAGTTATGTATATGCTTTATTGCTTTGAAGACAATAGATTGTGTGTTGCTTTAATGGCAGTAGTCTGAAATGTAAAGGCTGTTTCACAAACTAGATTTTCCTTTGTTGTATTATTTTTTCTAATAGTTCACAATTACCACAACAAAATATCAGATCGAAAGGCTAAAATGAATGTGTTCTGAATCAAAGTCGAAGCAAAACAGCGTTTAAAAACGGTGTTACAGTAACTGTACTGCGCATAGAATTCATGGAAATCTCTTTGAAATTCCTGAAAATCCGAATTTTTGGCAGTTACAACCAGCTTGTTATGTTGGTGCTCTGACGTTGGCTTTAAACAAAGGACTGCACACAGAAAAAGGTCACGACAGCCGCTATAAGGTAAGTTTCCTCCTCCAAACCAAGGAAGCTTTCTTACTGTGCCCAATGCTTTATAACTGAGCAAAGATCAAAAGAAAATGTGACAAATGAATTGAGCTAGTGTTTAGTCCCCCATGCAAAAACAAGTTTGCTTCTTAGAAAGTAATCCCACCAACAGAGGAGAGGAAATGCTGAGAGAAAAGTCACACAAAGCATCAGAGGATATCCAATGAGACGAGACTGTCACTTTCCCCTCAAATTATCCTACTGCTGTTCATATATAAGGCCAAACCTTTAGAGACGCAAACACGGTAAAAGCCAGCGTAACACAAGAAGTAAATATCATCAAGTCAAAACAGGAAAACACTCTCTCCCTTCCTACTCGCCGCTTCATCAACTCTCTGGCAGCTGTTGAAAAGTCTTATGTCTTACCTTTACTACTTTTCCCTGGCCTACAAAAATTCATCATCCCTTCACCACTGTATTCAAAGTTGCAGCCTCCCACACACACTGCCTCACCTGGACGTTGTCCTCTGTGACTTCTATCTCAGCCGTGTAGATGTAGTCCACCAGCTTCCTCAGGGTCTGTCCGTCCACCTCTCTGATCTCCACCTGATGGGCTTTGCTCTCACTCATGTCACCTACAAAACACACAGAGGTTAGCAAATGCCATTCAACCAACAGTGTGTGTGTGTGTGTGTGTGTGTGTGTGTGTGTGTGTGTGTGTGTGTGTGTGTGTGTGTGTGTGTGTGTGTGTGTGTACCTGTAAACATGGCACAGAAGTAGGGGCTACAGGAGGCCAGGACCACCCTGTGAGCTGGCACCTCAACACTCCCTGCCACCAGCTGGACGTCACACAGCATCTTTTTACTGAAGTATAAAAGAGAAACGGAGAGTGAGATAGAGGATAAAGCGTTGGCAGTGACAAGCCAAGTATTCGCAGGACGGCTGCCAGCTAATGTGCCAGATTAGGTGTTCATTTCCCAGGTTGTATTTAAAACCTCCCGGAGAAATTATGCATTTCCTGTTTTAATATCACTATCAGTCAAGAGTGGCCTACTAGTCTGCTCTGACTTTAAGATCAGTCGTGATTTAATTTTTTTTACTTTCTTACTGAGGACCACAAGTGAAACAAATATTTGAGTTTTTTGTGATTGAACCCTAAAGTATTTAATTATATTTAGGACTGTAATTGCAGTCTTTTTACACATAATCAGATAACCCTATTAGTTTCAGTACATTGCATGTGTTTTTTCAGCTTGTTAGGTTTTCTTTCAAACTGAAACCATCAAAGAACCGGAAAAGTGTGGCGGGCTTTAAAAGCTGCATCATTAGATTGGAGGCATATGGTATTTAATATCAAATATAGAATAACGGCATGAATAGGAAAATGTACAACTATTAATGAATTAATAATTGTTGCAGTTTAATTGTTAATTAATCAAAGTCAAACTACATGTGCACTTCGTACACTTAAAAGTATCAAATAAAAAGGTAAAATTCACATAATGAAATGATATATTAAAATGTTATTCTATTAGACAGACATTTAAAGCTATGTACTTTGTGTAACATGCAAGAGGCACATGTTAGACAGGCATAACAACTCAAGCAAAGTATAGAGCCAGTAGTTATTTTTATGGTGACATGTGTTTGTGGCCTCATTCTTTCTGTAAGAAACGAACAACACCGTCAGGCACTCGCCTCCTCAGCTCGTTCATGAGCTGGAAAGCCTTCCTCATGTGCGTCTGGTTGAAGGTGTGCAGCCCTCCATTCATCGTGTCCTCCTCTGAATCCGTGTTGCAGTTTGGACGCGGCGAGGCCGGCGCAGCCACCAGACTGCTGAGACATGAGAGAAGCAGAATCAGCAGATATTAATGGCAACCCCACAGTTTATGTTTCATCTCTCGGGTTATGAGATGATGATAAAACACTGAGTAACTGTGGTAAAAGTCAAATTGAGTGTTTTAAATAAACGTATTTGGTAGCTGGTGTAAATAGTGTTATTATTCTATGAGAGATAACGATCCAATACGTGGGATCACTGCTAACACGGACCTTTATAAGCAAACCTAAATTAATGATAGGTTTTTTTGGTTTGTTAATGTACAATAAAGTGTTTCCTCAATCAGCCGACAGGCCACTTACTTTATATCTAAATGTGTTTGCACTGTAGGAAAAAGGTTTAATCAGTGTAGTAAAATTGTTGTTTTCTTTATTGCCCATGTTTGGATACATTATTCGTAAACCTAATGCAATAATCTAATGGATGTCCCTTTCCTCACTGCACTACATAATCATTCAAGCTTGTCTTTTTGACTGGGGATCCGCTTTTGTTTTCCAAAAATGGTATGACAGTATTCTTTGACTCACATCCTTTAAATCATATTCTTAAGTCATAGGAGAGACTGAAAGAAAGGACACTCCCAAACCCCATGAAAACTAAAAACCATACAATGTGTTAGCCCATCTCTTAAAATCTTGGCATGGAGTAGGTGAACAATAACAGGATGGTGTCTTATCAAAATAACAGTAGTATGGTGTCTATGGCATAGTAGATAAATAAGCCCTTTACGCCCTCCTCATAAACATACACAAAACATATAATACAAAAGTATCCAAAACTATTTATAGAAGACAACCTACTGTTAATGAGCTTTGAACGTTTTGACATCAGGTGAATTATTTATTTTCATTTCCCTTTTAACCAATGGTGACAGACTCCACTAATCTGAGAGCAGGTGAAAAACGTCACTAAGAACTGACATAAAGGGAGCTTTGCTTGGTTTAATGAGTCACCTTGTTGATAGGGAAAGAGACGATTATATGTACAGTACTGTGTTCTCACAAAGTGTTTTGTCCACATACTAGTTACAGTTTGAATAATAATGATGCAGCACTAACAAGCCACATGATAGATAGATAGATAGATAGATAGATAGATAGATAGATAGATAGATAGATAGATAGATAGATAGAAGAAAAGCCATATATCACTAGAATATCCAGTGTACACAATATTAAAAAAATACTGAATACTTTCCCCAAAGCAACAGAGATATATAGGAATATACAACAGGACAAAGGGTATTGTTTTAATTCACAAAGGTACAAATCACTAAACAATCATGACTCTTTCTGAACTTTCTCTTTATAGCCAACATTTTTTTTTTAAGATGGAAAACTATGTTTGTTTGAGTTTCTTGAGCGTCAAGTTGGAAGGCTGGCTAGCTCTTAGCTTTGTCAACCATTAAACTAAACTGCTAAGCTTATCATAGCTCTCGTTAACTCACATTAATTGTAACTTTAAATTGTAGTAATGTCACATTTTGGTTGACGGTCTACACTCCGTATATAAGTATGTTCTTGATGACAGTTTATCTACATGGTAACTGGCAGGTTGGTTAGCAACTCAACTGCTCCAGCTGGGCAACCAACGGTGCTAGCTAACTGAAGCTAACTAGTCAACAAGGCTAGCTTCAGTTCGAGTTGCTAGCAGAAAGCTGTTGCACTGTCTGTGGGGTTTATGTCCGGAGGATCATGTGGGGTAAAATGTTATCCAACAGATGTAGAAGCAGCGTGAATCACAGCCTTACAGAATAATCCCCCCTGAGCCAACTCACCCCGGCAACGACACACCGTCCATCCTCCCAGAGTCAGAAGCAGCAGCAGCGGGCATGAGCGCTGAGTGAGCCGCTGTACAAAGATTGTGTATAATCGAGATGATTCACTGCAGAATCTAAAGACATGGGCATGCAGTATAAACCATATTTGCACAGACTAGTATGATAATGGTAAAAAGACACATTTATTCCGATCAATCTTAAATCTTGACATCTGGTAGGGGCAGTGGTGTTAAGTAACTAAAGTATTTACTCAAGTATCTAAGTACACATTTGAGGGACTTGTATTTTACTTGAGTATTTCAATTATTTTGCTATTAGTACTTTTCCCATAGGCGTCATTTGCACTGGGGACATGTACCCACCACATTTTGAAATGGCCAATTTTGTCCCCACCACTTTTTAAAAGTATAACTTATAAATGTTCGGAAAAATAGCGTGCACAAAGAAATGTAAAACAAGAGCACTGCTTTAATGTCAATGGATCCGACCAATAGGAACAGCAGGTTAAATACAAATAAAAAATATTTCAAATCGAGAGACGATTATAAAGATATAAGAAATGTTGTCATTGTGTCATTTTAATTTTTTATAAATACATCCACTAACACGAATCCTCTTTTCAAATGTTCCAATCATGTGATTACAATTTGTAAACCATCTTGTAGCCGATATATCACTCAAGTCTGTGTAGCTCCATTTCAATTGTTTTCTTTCTAAGCAGACTTCAATGCAATAATAAATAACGTCCCTGTCATAAAGTCAAGTTCTACCAAAATCACTTCAAACATCTCCTAACACTTCCTTTACGATAACTACATTAATCTGTTTAAGGTGTAAAGGCTTTTGCGTCAAGAATTTTTTTTTGTATATTGCTATTTGTACTTTTAATTTTGAGTTAATTTTTAGTTAAGCAGTCTTCTTT